ACCCGTGCCAACAGCTCCGCATTTTCAGTGCCACTCTCTCCCAGCAGAGCTCTTCCCAAGATATTTCCCCACCTGTCCGTTCACGCTGATGCATATCCTATGCTTGGGTTATCGTTTAGTTAGTTTGCTCCGCTGCAAAAAGGAGCGAAAACCAAGCATCGACGGACAGAACGCCGAGCAAAATGAAAACCCCTCCGGCGAAGAACTTTTTCCCATGCATGTCCAGCATGTCCCTTTGCCCAGCGTTTAGACACCGTTTGAGAAGTCTTTGGTGCCGATTTTTCATTTTGGGGACAATCGCATTGATGGAATTTGTTCTCTTTTACTCTCGCTCCCTGACAACGAAGCTATGGATGTCCCATGGCCCAGGGTTTGGAAACTTTGGCAGGTCTTGGGCGCACAGTTTTTCAGAACAATCGTATTGATGAAATTTGTCCTGAAAAACCCGTGCCAACAGCTGCGCATTTTTAGTGTCGCTCCCTGCCAACGAAGCTCTGCATGTCCCAACGTTTGCAAACCACTTGAAAAGTTTTGGGCGCACAGTCTTTCACGACAATCGCATTGATGGAATCTGTCCTGAAAACTCATGCCAGCAGCTCTGCTTCTCAGTATGCCGCTTCACCTAACAAGCTCTCCACAAGCTATTTCCCACGGTTTCCCATCCGTCCACGATGTCCACGCTTCCGCCTCGCTCCCTCCCAACGGAGCTCTCCCCAAGCTATTTCCCACGGTTTCCCATCCGTCCACCCTCTCGCTCCCTTTTAGCGGAGCTCCCCCAAGCTATATCCCCGTCTTGGACCCACAATTTTTCAGAGCAATGGCATTGATGGAAATTGTCCCGGAAAATCCGTGCCACCAGCTTTGCATGTTTGCATCGCTCCCTCCCAGCGGAGATCCCCCCAAGCTATTTCCACGCTTCACAATCCATGCGTGCTCGTCCGGCGTTCCCGCCTCGCTCCCTCCAGCGGAGGTCCCCCGAAGCTATTTCCACGCTTCACAATCCATCCATGCTAGTCCGGCACTTCCATCTCTCCGGCAGAGCTCCCCCCAATCTATTTCCACGCTGCACAGTCCATCCACGCTCAACCGGCGCTCTGGTCTCGCTCCGTCTGGCACAACTCCCCCCAAGTTTTTTCCATGCTTCACACTCCATCCACGCTGGTCCGGCGCTCCCTCCAATTTCCACGCTTCACAGTCCATCCACGCTCGTCCGGCGCTCCCGCCTTGCTCCCTCCAGCGGAGCTCCCCCCAAGCTATTTCCACGCTTCACATCATCCACGCTCGTCCAGCGCTCCCGTCTTGCTCCCTCCAGCGGAGCTCCCCGCAACCTATTTCTACGCTTCACAAGGTCCATCCGCGCTCGTCCGGCGCTCCCGTCTCACTCCCTCCAGCGGCGCTCCCCCTAAGCTATTTCCACGCTTCGCACTCCACGTCCGGCGCTCCACGCTTCACAGTCCATCCAGGCTCGTCCGGCGCTCCCGCCTCGCTCCCTCCCCCTAAGCTATTTCCATGCTTCACACTCCATCCACGTCCGGCGCTCCACGCTTCACTTCCGTCTCGCTCCCTCCAGCGGAGCTCCCCCCAAGCTATTCCCACGCTTCACAGTCCATCACGCTCGTCCGGCGCTTCCGTCTCGCTCCCTCCAGCGGAGCTCCCCCCAAGCTATTTCCACGCTTCACAATCCATCCACGCTCGTCCGGCGCTTCCGTCTCGCTCCCTCCAGCGGAGATCCCCCCAAGCTATTTCCACGCTTTCCACTCCGTCCGCGCTCGTGCCTTCCTTCCTTCCTTCCTTCCTTCCCTTCCTTCCTTTCTTCCTTTCTTTCTTCCTTCCTGCCTTCCTTCCTTCCCCCTTTCCTTCCTGCCTTCCTTTCTTCCTTCCTTGCTCGTCCGGCTCTTCTGTCTCGCTCCCCTCGCGGCGAAGGAAACTAAACGAGAACCCAAGAATCGGAGATGGTTTTGGGGAAAAACTGAAAAAAGTGTGACTCCCATCCTCCATTGCAGGCCCACTGCTTCAACTGACAGCCTCTCCTGCGTCCCTACTCCGCGGAAGCCATCGATGAGGCAGGTCTTGATCTCTGACAAGGGCCAGTTCCTTGAGTGAACTTCTCATTACAGAACTATGTGCACGGCATGTGCAAGGAGGCATGTATGGGTTCGTGCTGCATGCGTACCTGTGCTGTGTAGCCAACAACTTAACTTCGCATCATGACCATTTTGCAGTGTTGCCTGAGAAAAAAAAACTGGCCCCATGTGTTGCCGCACGACCATTGGATCTCAACATCATCACCATCTGCGGCCATCGGCCAAGTGCTTCAAGCTGTACCCATCTGTGGTGCTGAGCATGGGGCTTCAAGGAAACCTCACATACTGCATAGTGGTCACTTGAAGCGCCTGCACCAAGTCCCAGTTCTTCAGCAAATTGGAATGTCAAGCCTACACTGGGCCTACACATAGTCTTCCAGAAACGACTGTGTAGGCCAACTTAAACAAACACAAACATAAGCACCGCTGAAGTGTGTCATCAAGCCACATTGGCCCCACTGATAATTCAAGTTTGCAGTGTAGTGGAGAGCCGCAGCACAAAGTCGCTGAAGTAATTATGTTGTGAAATATACTTAGTACAGTAATATTTAGTATACATTATCTTGCTATACATGTGTAGGCTGTATATGGCTGTATGTTCTTGGAGAACGGCTCTTGCACTGAAAGACTGCTGGTCTTTCAGTGTTTACTTAAATAAAGGTTCTGGGTGATAGGTCGGCTCTTAAGAGGCAGACTAAGTTCGTGACCTGCAACGACAAAGCTCAGCAGTTCTGTTGCATAGGCACCGTCCACGTTGCAGCACTCCTTTCCACACGCATGGCCGTGCCGAAACAGTGGAGCAGGTGCAGATGTTGCGTGACGTTGCGAAGGTCCAAGACACTGCGATGTGTTTCTGGCATTCTTCTGCACCATGTTTTACCAAGGACCCCCGCCCAGTCTCAATCTTAAAGTTGGTTTGATAAGAGCCAGGCTGTTTGACCCCCACTGACCCACTGAGCTTCTCACACCAAAGCCGCCGCAGAAGCACACTCGATAAGAGCCAGGCTGCCTCATGCAAGGAGCCCCCTGTCCAAATGTGAAAGAAAAGAAGGAAAAGCCATGCAAAGCCTGTCTGCAGTGAACATTCGACGGTTTGATCTAGTCATGCTGTTGGCTGAGGTTGGGTCATGGCAGCAAACCCATCCCAAGTTGAGTAGCCTTAGAAGTCCAAACGCTCGAGCCATTCGCCATCCCAGAATTGGTTCTAAAGATGACTGAGGAGACTGACTGCTGCCTCCCATATTGCGCTTTCCATCTGTGGGACCTACTCTCTGCCACGATGGTCCAAGTGGCTTTCACATTTCGAACCACCTCATCCTCCACATCCACTTGGTCCATCATGCTCCATCCATGTGAAGCAAATACTGCTAGCCGATTTGAGACATTTGATTCTCTTACCTTGGCTGTAACAGCCGTACATCCAGCCTTGCACCTTGAGCGTGGCCACCGAGCTGTAAGCATCTTAGTCACAAAGCTTCTCGTGCACAAGACTGACGTCAAACACACTGGGATTGATTCACACCAATCTATAGTAGGGATCTGGCCACCACATGCCGCAACCTGTCCAATCTGTCCATGTCCACAATGCAACAAACTCATTATTTGCCCACTTTGGCCCATGTATGCCCATGTCAGTTTGAAAGGAAATCCAAAGCTGAGGAATCCCACATCATTGCTCTCCACAATGCGCATCCGATCTGCATCCTGTGCACTCGGAAAGTCATGAAAGTCGTGACACCACCACCACCACCACCACCACCATCACAACCACCACCGGTGGCAGCCGTCCTGAAGGAATGGAGCACGGACGGTGAAGCTGAACACGGATCTGAGTTTGTACTCCTCGACATTTCAACCCATTTCAGCCCGACCATGCTCCACCCCTCAGGATGGCACAGAAATGTACATCTGGGATGAAAGGTTTGACTTCACTGCGGTGATGATCACAGTGAATGATCATGCGAATTGTGCAACATTCATGCATAATTTTCAGGGATGATGCGTCTCGGCTGGTGAGCCTCTCTGAATCTGACAGACAGACAGTTTTTGTTCGACCTCACCCTTTGAAAGTCGAGATAAGATAGAGAAATCCACAACCGCAGCAAGGCAATGTTTACGTTTACATAACGTCCTCGTACCGCCCTGATGGGATATCAAACCCACGGGCATCCCAGACCTTAAAGCAGCTGGTCACTCCATCATAACGCAGCTAAGCAAAGCAAACTGAGATGCCAACAGCCAGTGATCCTTTGTAGATAGCTGTGGAAGCTACAATTTCCTCAATGTTCTTGCCGCTTTGAGTGAATCAGATATTGAATCATATAAAATTGTATCATATGTTATATTATCAAGTTAATCATATGTCATATATATAAATATATATGTATATATGTGTGTGTGTGATTATGTGCGTGTGATCAAATCACATACACATAACAATGCATACACAAGGAACTCAACAGGGAACCCCACTGAGACCGTTTGGGAAAAGGAGTTGGCTGTTGGATCTGCATGTCAAACTGCACCGTAAGGATTCTCAGTCATGTGCCAGGCGATCAGGAGCCATGGTCACCATCTGCCAGCATCGGCACGCCGCACAAAAACGGTCGGAGTTGCAGGTGACCCACCAAATTCTGGAAGAAACCTGTGGAGTGTTTTGTAACTGTATGCCATGGATATACAGAGAGGGAGAGAGAGAGAGAGAGAGAGAGATATATATATATATTCAGTATATTGTTTTATTCAATATGTTTTCATATGTGTTCCATCATGTTCCATCTTAATGCCATGGCATGGGCCCAAAAAAGGCTGGCTCCCAGGTCTTCCACTCCAAGCGTGTAGCCTTGGAAGCCGCTGGCTCCACCTCATGGCAGGTCGCAACCGGCGTCCCCTTGACGTCGCAAGCGATCCATTTTTCCAAACGTGAAACCCTGGCGGCCCTGGCTCTGGTAGCGCCGGTCTCCGTCACAGCCTGGTGCCCTCTTTCAAACTCCAAGCTGGAATCCTTTGGGAGTTGACTTCATGTTCACTGAGTCACTCGGTTTTTCCAAGTGGTGAGACGCACAATGTGCTTCCCCTCATCAGCGGTGTCCAACAACACTACCAAGACTGGCCTTGCTTCTGCCTCTGGCGCAAATGCCAGCAGCTCGTGTAACTAGTCAAGGAGCGCTTGCGATTCAATTCGTGGTAGCTCTACTTCGGGTAGCCTAAAAGCAGGGCGCAACCGTTCTCCAGTGTGAGCTTTGGCCCTGGGCCTCAGTACCTTGGCATTTCCGTAGGGATTTGAGTCAAGAGACAGCAGCCGTGCAAACGGATGAGCCTGCAAGTGGATGGAATCAACGATTGAACAGCCACGGCAGGCCGGATTTCCGAGGCGGGTGTCTTCTCGGCTTCTCCCACAGAGCTGGCAAATGCCGTTCACAACTGCTGGTTTCCCTGCTTCCACTTTGAACAACTCTTCCACTGGCATGTCATTGGTGTTTGTCTTCTTCTGCTTCTTGGGCTTATGGAAGGAAACTGCCATCCTGGTTGTCAGAGCTGCAATTCGTTCCTTGGTCTCATTGTTTGAGAGTGTAAGTTTTGAGGGGCTGGGCTGTGGAATGTCCTCTTCACTCGAGGAGTCATCCAATTTTCTCGGAACCACTCCACTCAACTGCTGGGTTTCTGCCATCTTCTTGACAACCAAGGCTGCCCGTCCCAAGTTCTTTACTGCTTCTCGTATGTTGCTCATGGTTTTCTGCTTCTTCAGGGAGAGTGCAGCATCTCGGGTTTGTTTGCTTGGCTTTAGGCTGGGTGCCATGCTTTGCTGCCTGGATTGTCGGCGTAGTGGCTTTCGATTTCCAGGTCCAGGATGAGGTTGCAGCAGGCTCTGGCCACCTGGGTCCTCGGAGAAGTCATCCCACAGACCAGGCAACTGAGTCACCAACGCAGCTGCCCCGCTTGCGGCCTCTGGGTCTGGCATTTCCGGTGGATTGTCAAGCATCAGACATGACATCCGACGCAAGTAGCTCACAAGCCATGTCACCTTGAAGTAGGAGGAGGTGCTCTGCTGCAATGTGCTGCCATAGAAGCCAAGGTAGAGGAAAGCTACCCTGCAAAGTGTCTCAACAAAAGCATTTGCACCAAAAACGGTTTCGCACTCGTGCTGCTCATTTTCTGAAAGAGTCGAAGACACTGCGGAGTCGGTGCTGTGAAGGCGTTCCCTTTCCGTCCCTGGTGCTGGTGGAATCGGTGACGATGCAGCTTTGGAACGTCCCTTTCCATCCTTGGCTTTGCCCCGCGCTTTCGACGCACGCGGAGGCTTCCTGACTAATCGCGGGGCAAGGACCAAAAAGCACTCGGCAGCTTCGTAGGCCCTACGGAGCTGCTGTTCCGGAATGAACCGCGGGGTCAGCTGAAAGTCTACACAAAACTGCCATAGCTCTGTGAATTGCATGTGTCCTTTGGGTGCATAGCAGTTGAAGAGGATTCTGAACTGGTGCTGGAAACAGTAAACAACATGAAGAACCTCTGGCTCGATGAGCATGGCCGAAATCAGCCTGTCCCTGGCAAGATTGAAAATATCCTTGTCAGCTTTTTTGGGCCCTTGGCCTTGGCCCTTTCGGCTTGGCTCTGTGTGCTTCATACCCTGTGCGTCCAGTGAATCCCGTTTCGAATCTCCTGGGTCGCTGGCCTTCAGCTTCTTAGCATACTTCTTCAGGGATTGCAAGAAATCCTCCCGAGTCTTTGCTTCAAAATACTGTCGAATAATGACATCCAACACCGAAATGAGTCTGAATCGATTAACCTTACTGGCATGGGCAATGCCACAAGGACGGCCGCTTGAGAGTTACTCTTTTGACATGAAAGGGGTTGAAAAATTTAGGGCGAACAGGTTCAACGCAAGGCCGAACTGCAGAGGCCAAACTTGCATGCACAACCATCTACAGTATCTACAGTACATCAAAACTGAGTGCTTCAAGCAATTAAAGTTTGATACATGATACATGCATCTCTGGGATGGCTGTCCATATGAGCAAACTCTGAAGACTAAGAAGATGTTTTGGAATGGTGTGTGCGCGCGTACTATGATATAATAAACTTAATAAACATTATAATTTATGTGTATATATATATATACATAACTCTTTAATATCTCTAACAAGAAAATCATAGAAAATCCATAGGGTGCGGCTGCCAAGGGGCGACATGCAACACAGGAGCTACAGCAGCATGTTCAACATCCGGGCAGAGCCGCATTGGCAGGGCCAAACTGTCGAAAAGACACACTGCCCAGAAGTACGGTACTTTCTCACCCACCAACTCCAGATCCAGCAGCATTCGGCAAAAGGTCGGCCGATCCATCCCAGCTGTGACGACTGCTCCATGTGCTGCTTGGGTTGAGTTACTCCAGCGTTGCATGCACCTTGTGATCAGAAGCACTTCAGTCTGTGTGAAGAGCCACGACATCTGTGACCCTTCTACAAACTTCTCGTCTGCAAGAAATGCATTTTGTCTCTCAGTCAACTGCTTCGCTGTATTCTCTTCTTCTTCGAGAGAATCAGTTGGCATAATATCTTTGATATCAATGTCATTGGGCAGGACTGTCTCAAAGGCAGATATCTCTGCAAATAGTCGGCCAAGCCTGCGTTGGTTCACATCTGCTGTGCGCAGACGTTCTTGATCATTAACCTTTCTCAAGAGAGCTTCGGCCTTTTCCCGTGTCATCAGCATATCTTTAGCTCGGGCCTCTGAAGCCGCAAGAAATGCCTTGGAGCTTCCCAGCATGCCTGTCCTCTCATCCAAAGCCATCTCATCCATCTCATCCATATGCCGTTGCAAGGTCGAAACGTCTACAGAAGCATGAAGATCACCAGTAGATCCAAATGTGCTGCCAACATCTCGGTTCTGCTTGGCCGCAAAGGCGATGCTCAAGAGTTTGAAATGAGGCCCACCATGCACATCAAAAAAGTCGCTCAGGCGCAATTGTGATAGCTGGTGCTTCAGCCTCTGGTTTCGCACAAGATCCTCTTGAAGTAGCGAAGAAGCAGGTCCACCCCACTCACTTCCAGTGATTTGCAAGGCAGGGTAGCTAACTATGCTTGACGTGCTGAGACTGAACATTTCCGGCATCTCATCATGTTCTGATTCCGAAAGAAAGCAGGATTTTGTGAGTGCCCCATCTTGTTCAGTTTGCCCATCAGGCGGCTTGCTCCCAGCTGGTGGCAGATGGGTGGAAACTTTGATCCTTAGGATGGGTTGTATCGTCACTGTTTTTTGCCGGGGCGCAAGACTTGGCAGCACACCTGCTGGATTGAAATCTTTCTTCGAATCCTTATCTTTTCTCAGCATCTGCCAACATGCACCTGCTTCAAGCTGGACCTGCGGCGAAGCTGCCCTCCGTACATTCTGGTGGATTCACGTCTGTTCTTAGATGTTACAGGATGCTACTAGTGGATGTTACATGATGTTACTAGTGGATGTTTGGTAGCTCAAGATGGAATATTGGTCAAAGCATGCCATTGTCACATCATGCTCCCCGGTTCCATGCTGGTCAGAGCCAATACTCACTCACACTCACAAACAGACATGTGCACTGACACAAGCTCGGAAAGAGGCCAGCTTGCTTCACACTGCTTGGCACGCATTGCTCTTGTCATGGAATTCAATGAATTCAATGTTTCAAATGCTTCACAAGATCATCAAAGAAGTATCCACTGCTGAAATTTCAGATTTGTCATCTCCATGTCAGCTTCATCTGGTCTGCGCCATCCTTAGGTCCTCTTAGGTCCTCTTGGCGCTCTACGATGGTGTGCTCTTCCGCAATGGGTTGAAGCAGCTCCAGGAAAATCTGAAGAAACCAGCGATGCGAAGTCATGACTTTCATTTTGATGGTTTGGCGATGTTTCCCAATTGGGACAGGTTGGGAAATTATTTTTTGATGATCTTAGATGATGATAATGATTGTGGGACCCTGCAGTTCTCAAACGCAAGAGGAAATGATTCTCCAAATTCTCCAGCCTTGTTTGTTCACTAGTGAGGCAGGTAGAAAAAATTGGTGCCCCAGTTTGGCCAATAGGGTTGAAGTATGTTGAAGCTATGGGATGGTGCGTCCGCATGTTTGGAAACACACTGCCTCTCCGATCGCCATGATCTCTCTGTGTCTACCTCACGTCCGTCAGTGAAAGGAGCTACGAGCTTGGGACTCTTCCGCATGGTCGCTATGCAGACGTGCAACCCTCTCCCAAATTGTCAAGGTCCTCCAAGTATTGGCCAAGTGGCTTTGCGCAACTTGCCAGCGCAAAGTGCTGGTCCTACTAGTCAAACGGTCTACAAGAAAATACCCCACGACACCCCACGCATCCCTTTGTCAATCTGTTTCATCACTGTAAACGATTAAAAGGTGTTCACGCAGCGGTGATTCGATCCTCGGCACAGCGGTTTCTGGGATGGTGATCCAAACGCCAGAGGTTGGCACCTTCATGCGCAGAACAATCGCACCCAACAAGGACATCATGCGACAATCCAAACTGGGATCACTTCATATCACTTCATATCACTTCACCACTGGACAATTGAGCAAATAATCATAATATCCATTTATTTAATTTATTTAGCAAATGAATGCAAATGGTATGAGTGCATAAGAAAAAAGATCCAATCGGGATGTGTTGTGATATGTTTGTAGGCTACACGTGTATGTCGAGGTCGAGGCAACAACAACCCCTGCATGTTTCGGAAGCTGTGCACCTCCCTTCCAGCTTGACACCCTCCATACACAATGCCACCCCAGCCAGAGGCGTTGGGAGCTCCAAACCTTGCCACTGTCCGCACTGTCCGCAGATCATGGTGATTCACTAAGGTTCACAACAGAGAGGCCGACATGACGTAGCCATCGTGTGTAGGGTCAAGCAACTCGTCCTCAGAGTCACCCAGCACTCCCAGCACTCCCAGCACTCCCAGCACTCCCAGCAGCGAAGTGGGGGAGACTTCGGGTCAAAGGTGCCGGCAGTGTCATTCGCCTCAATAAGGGCATGCACGTTGACGTCAGGATTGTCCCAAAGTTCTGGCCTTATCCCCAGGTCAAGTACGGCTGATGGCATTGCTGCTTGGTGCAAACTATCACCCAAATTCAAACAAAAGAGATCTTCTTTATATATAAGTTCCACACGAGGAGGCGTTCAAGCAATAGCGCAGGTCACAATTCCGAGCGCTTTCCCTGTAGTTGATGAGGTTGCAGAAGTCTCAGTGTCCACGCAGCAGGACCAAAGAAGTGTCAAAACGAGCAAAGCCTGCCACCACAAAAGAAAAATCCCGCAGTAATCTTTGTTGCGTTGGTCAGTCAAGGTAGACTGGACTATGTTCAGGCGGCGTGGGTAAATCTCTATATTTCTATATGGGCATTGCTCTGATATGCTCTGATATGCTCTGATATGCTCTGATATGTTCTGATATGCTCTGATATGCTCTGATGCAATGACAAAATTGGCTTATATTCAGATGATACATCATCCTACATGACAAATGACACGCTTTTGTATGGATGCAAAATGCACACCAGCCTCAACCCACTGAGAATCGCAGGATCTGAGCTTTAGAGCATTTGGCAAGGCCAACTGAGGTCTAAACAGTTTTCTCTGCAGGCCTGAGCCCAATGTCTGTGCGTCACGTGCCGGGAGGAGATCAAAAGATATCATTTTTGTTGGCCTGCTTGCAAGCCTCAACCGTCTCACGTCCTGGAGCATTAACACCAAGGACATGTGACGATGATGGCCATCAATGATGACGCATGGGACAAACATGTTAAACATGTGCCACGAAACGCTTGGATGACACAAGTTCTGTCCTTCATCTCCTTCTGGACCGACTCTTTCGCAATCGAGGCCTCCACATGGCATAGATCATATAGATCCATATAGATCCAGGGTTTTGAAATCTTGAAATATCTTGAAATTGATGGAATCACAGCTTCACAGTGTACCTTCCGCTGACATGCCAGTGCCGAGCTCAGTGAAATAGCTCCTCCAAAACTGCCAGAATAAACCATGTTCGAGCACTGTGGTAGGATCTTTTTTCATTGGGTGTCGCTGAATATCATTCTCTCTCTCTCTCTCTCTCGCTCTCTTTCTCTCTAACAGGTGAGACTGACCTAGGGTCGGCGAGTAGCGCAGCAACATCAGCAACCCTACAAATGGATAAATGGAAACGGGCCGGTTCCATCCCGTTCCCTGTTTCGCAAAACCGACAAGCCGCAGCCAGTGCTTGTTGCCGCCCGCATCCTTGCAGGGTTCGGCTCATCCCATTGGGTCTGTCGCGCGCCGCCACGGCAGTCATCAGCTAAATCATCCGCGTTCAACTTGGCAGGTTGAGCCAAGCAAAGTGACACGAAAAAGGACTCCAAAATCTCAAAAGATCTCATCACAGACTCTATCAATTAGGGCTCCTCTCACCTGGACCGCTGATATCACAATGACATTTTTGATGCGGGTCCTTACACGTCCTGACCCCAAAACACGAAATGGAAACCCAAATTGGATCAAGGCATGCTGCGCTGCTGCTTGGCTTATCTTGGCTTCAGGCACTGTACTCCAAGAAATACCCACGAACTGCAACCTGTCTCCACATCACACGAACAGATCAAGCAAAGGCAGCACGACGTAGCATGGCACTCAGGCCACGACAAAGTCAAAGGGAACTGCAATGTCCACCCGAGTAGATGGCAAGCCTTGGCATTCAATTGTACTCAATCACTAAGTCACTAAGCATTCCAGTGGAGTCTCCGTCTCCTTCTGGTATCTTAACCCATCGAAAGAATATCCCGCATTTCTTGTGATGAAGTGATTCTAAAAACAGCATCCCTGAACACTCACACATGAACTGTCAGGTACAGCAAAGAACATGTCAAGACCCATGCTTACTCCGCAGCCCTCTGTTACATTGCAGGGCGCGAATGCGAGCCTCAGTAGAGCAAAACATAAAGGGACCTGTATGAAAGGGCGCTGCGGCTGGTATGTCACATGGTGCCACAGAACTGCGTGCTCAGGAAGAACTCACCTCATATGTATATGGTGTGTATATTTATATATATTAGACTTGAGAAGATTCCCTTGCTTGAGTTGTTTGCATCTGCGCTACTCTGACCTTGATGGAGGTGAAACTCCAGCACCTTCTGGTGCCCTTTGGACCTCCTTTGTCATCCCCTTCTCTCCAGTGGCCTCTGAATAATATGCTTTGACATCGTGCCGGTATTCTTGGTTTCTTTCTTTTCTGTGTGCTTGTGTTTGGTTTATGTTTGGCCATACTGCAGCCATACCTTGGGAGGACCCTTTCCTTCGGAAAGCTCGCTTTTGAGCTTTCAACTCAAGCACAGTTCCGTTCGAATGGAGCTTGACCTGGTGCTGCGGGATGTTTTCGACCTTGCGACATTCGGAAAGGAACAACCGCGCACAGTACCCTGGCCACTCAGCAGCACTGTTTGAAAGTGTACCGCATGGCCACTGAGAGCTTCGCTGGTCCCGACCTGGCGAAGGCAGCAAGTGGCAACAGCATGCAACAGCCCTGTTGAGCCGTTCAAACTCAAATCTGTGCATGCAAAAATATGCAATGGATCAACATGGCCTTGATGACCACGACAAAATAATCTCAGGTCTCCCAAGGTCCTTGGAGCTGGCTGTTGAGGCCGAGGCCCATGAGGATTCCACCGCTCGCCAAAGAAAGTGCCCTGAGACAGCGGCCTCCCCTGTCAAAGCAACCTGAGTGACAACGGAGCGAGTTTGGAGCGGAGCACGTCCAAGCCGTCAAGAGAGACTCAGAAACATTTGAGGCCCTGTCCCATTGAGGGCTGGGAGGTGGCAAACCCTGCTGCACGTTGGCTAAGGGAAGCATCCTTGCAGCGAAGAGATATCAAAGCAGCAGTACAGTTGCCCTTCCAAGATTTTCACCGATGAATCCCTTTGCTTTTTCCGTTTCGCATGATGCAAACCAAATGACGCCAGCCCTTGAACCACTGAGACAGCAGCTTAAGTGCCGCTGGCCCACGAATCGCGAGCCATTGCCCATCCTGCATTCTGAAACCGACTGAAAAATGATGCCAAGCCAAGATCGCAAGCAGTCCTGCGAAAAGGATAGGCCAGCCTACAGCATCCGCTGGGCAAGCAGAACGTCCAGCGAATGCGACTTCAATTCTGTTCTATTCTTGGGTCACCAACCATGAGCATCAAGATGTTTTCACAGCAAGACTTTCACAAGTGCAGAGTGAGGCAACGACCAACGCAGCAAAATTTGCATGGCTTACGCTTGATAAGGCAGGCCTGAGTGCTTGCATCATGCCGAGTCTGCTGGAGAGAATGCCGGGAATTTTCCACGAAATCACTCCCGTATTCTTGTCGCACTACGCTGCCTGACTCAAGGCCTATCCCAAATGGTTTGGTAAAATGCTGATGGAAAATATGATGGAAAATACATATGATGGAATATGTTTGGAACATAAACTCCCCTTGAAAGTACTTGAAAGGGTGAATACCTCACCGGTCTTGGCTTCAGCTCGTCTCAGCAGCAAGCTCGAAGGTCCTCACCTCACGCGACCACAAGCTTCACAAGAAATTGAAACTCAAAAAGCGGACACACTATGCCAATTATTGGGACCACAAGTTTCAACAGTTCCAAGTTCCAACAGCACATTTACCACTGAATGCCACTGGATCTATAAATCTATATTTTCACCTGTGATATTAAGAAAAAACAGCAGGAACCTTGTTTTGTTTTGCCGTGGCATCTCAGAGGGTATGCCCTAACACCAGCCCGCAGGAACCTTGGTGGTAGTTTGAACATTTTTGATCATTTTTGGATGGAACTTAAGTTCCAGCGAGGTATCACCTTTGGGCCTCAACTAC